ACGTAGGTCGGTGGAAGAAACTTTGGTATCAACTTCATTTTAATTTAGAAAATTTTCTTCACATTCAGTTCTCTAAACTTTCGCATGAGAAGATGGGATGTACAATTGAAAATAGTTCTCATTTCTTTTCTTTAATGGCTACATTGTTTCTCTATTTGTGTCAGAAATCTATATACATTTTTTTCAAGTATTTTAGCACGAGAGTTGATGACCGCCAATGGGGAAAAGGATGGTAGTGGCAACGACAGTGCGGCTGAGCTCAGTCTACCTTGACAAAATGGTTCAGAACTTCACCAAAGTGCTGCAACTGCTTCACCGGCAACTTCGACGACCATCTCAATTTCTTCTCTGACACGCTTACGACTAGATCTTCCTTTAGGTACTCTCAATGTACTCCATTTCCAATCCCCCTTTCACTTTGTTTGGTGTAATGAATTTCTCTTTTTTTATCTTTCTGGTTATAATTTTTGAAGTGGTGGCTTTACATTCGCATACAAAGCTTTATTCTGTGCAAGAGTGTGATGAAGACAATTCTGCTTGCTCACACGTCGAGAATCGTCAACTGAAATCATAGGTACTCGATGTGTTAATAGATTGACATACTTTACGCTTATGTTTTGTCATATCTTGCTTTCATAATGTTGTTTTTATACTGAAATCGTGTCACTGTCTTGAAGCACATGCATTTTTAGCATCACCATGGCTTGTTGACATACTTAGTCTGGCACGTATCAGTTTATTTGCATGTTTTCTCATAAACTTGATATTGTTGCAGTGATAATGATAGATCAATGATAGATAAAAGTAGTGCTCTGTTTGCCAAGGCTAGGTTAGTTGCTATTCTTTTCATCCAGGTTTGTGAATTTTCAATTATTCTCTTAATTTGGAATTCTAAGTTTTTTGTTGCAAATTAGGCTCCTTTTAATGCTCTTTTGATTCCTCAGATCCTTTTTTCACTTCTGATTAGCGTACTCTTACAGTGAAGTTAAGGATATGGCTATTAATTGCTCCTACGTGTTATGTGTTTGGAAAGTTAATTTAAGAAACTCAAGCTTAAGGTACAGAAATAGAATTTCCACTGGGATAATAATTTCCTCATGGTAATAGTGGTCATTGATTTGAATTGATTTAAAAGTGTTTCCGTTCTTTTCTCCTTTTTCATTTTTGCGTTAATTGGATATTGGATTTTTTTCCCTATGATCTATGGTTGTACTTCAGTTGTCACGTCTGTTGGAGATTCTCGCTGCATATTGTCTGCGTATTGGACACTGTGGGTGGGGTCGGCTGGAGGAGAACATCGAGGAGCGGGAGCGAGTGACCGCCAGTGGCGGTTAAGTTAGAAGGTTTTATGTTTTGTTAGGGCAGTGAGGTAATTCTATTACTTCTTCTTCTTCTTTTTTTGTTTCTTTTTTTTTCTTTTTTTTTTTCACACCTATATGTTATATATAAACTTGTGGATTCATTTACTTATTGCTTGAGTTTTTGTGTTTGGTGGGACTTTGTAGGTTGGTCCATTATGTTGCTGGCCCGATGGGATCATAGCTCTGCAAAAGGAACCAATAATAGGCTATCCACAGTTGGAGTTTTTGAGAAATTGTTTGAGAACGATTTTGCAATGCTTGGTGAGAGGTATCCTCTACTTATTTTTTTATTTTTATTTTTCGCATTTAACTTCAAAGTTTCTTAGTTCCTAGCAGACATAATGAATTTACGTAAAAAAAAATTTTGCTCACTTCCTATTTAGTCTTTATGCCTTTGAAGAAGTCTGCCATGAACAAATGTAAATTTACTTTTAAATTTAAATTGTTACCTGATTTGCTTTAATTTTTACTTTCTTACCACTGTATGGGAGTGCGTGTGAGTTTATCCTGATAATGATAGTGAGGAGAGAGCCCTTTTGGAGGTGGTCACGTGAGTTTATCTATGATTTCATTGCTCACTAATGTGCTTTTATATGAATTTTTGTACTTTAAGCATGTCATTTATATATTTTTTTTATTCTCTCTCTTTATAATTGCTTCATTCTCTTTGTAAGTTCACTATGTCTGTTGTGACTTGTGATGATATGTATATTTTTTCTTTTGTTTTTTTTGTTTAAAAAAGGCAGTATCGTGTTTGGATGAGGAACATTGAGATAGGAATTATGCGATGGTCTTGGCACCTACTGGGTGAGGTCATTTGACTGTGTTTTGTCTTGAGGAAAAAATGTAAATACTTCATACATATATGAAAGCTACTCATAATGACATAGGCACGCGTATGTAAAAATTTGACAAACATGCATATTTGTTGAACTGATTCAAACTGCATTTTGTATGCAGGAGTTCGATTCTTTAGTCTGAAGAAGAATAAATTTGAATATCAATTGCATTTTGTATTGACTTCGACTGGATTTCCACTGGTTTTCTTTTTATAGGATTGAATAAATGAGTGTGCCATGCGTGTCAGATAAATTTTTAGTTTAGGTTTGTCATTTGCGAACCACACATGACAATGTATTTTTACTTCATTTGTTGGGATTCGATTTTTCAACACTAAGCGGCTATTATCCTACAGAGAAAAAAAAAATCAAGCTGTTGATGTCGAAAATCGGACGACCAACGGTCGATTATAAGTCGAATATCTCTATTGCCGGAGGCGGATTCTTTATGGTATGTGGGCCATCCGATCACTTTGAACTCTGACCGGTTCGGTAGTGGGCGGACTGGACATCGAGGGATCCGATCGACTTTCGCCTGACCAATTTTGACAACCTGTTTATATATTTATTTATTACGTATTTTCGGCTCCTCGGTTATCTGGCCGTTCTTTATTATTTCATTTATAATTTAATTAATCGGAGCCAAATTGAGTATCAACACAAGCATAAAGATAGATTATCATGCCATACATTTGTTTGTAGGATTTAAAACCCAGTTGATAACTTCCATTTATTTTTTTTCAAATGTATCACCTCAACACTGGCTAAGACCCATAAGGAGGTTTTTTTAAGGTACATGCAAACTTCAAGGGTTATTTGGTTAGAAGATGACAATTTTTCTCTCAATGAGACATATTTTTCTCATGTTTGTTTAAGAAATACACTCAATAAGACACAAATTTTATACAAACCAATTGAAAAATTGTGCTTCCTAATTGAACTTTTTTCAAGATAACTATAGGCTTGCAAGTTTTTATTTTTTTATTATTATTATTTTTTTTAACGGTATCCATAGTCTATACATATTGACTGTTTTCGCTGACTTATTATTTTTATTTTTTATGAATGTTGTGCGTAGGATCTTTCGATATATGTGGACAGAGTATTCCATTGTGGTTGTCATTTCTCGGTGGCTTTTGCTCTTCCTCTCGATGAGGTACACTTTAACTTCTTAGTCATTTGATACTAATAGTTTGTTGAAATTAACTCTTTAGGTATATAATTCTGCAATATGTTTGCACGAGATGGCAGCAGGTGCAAATTGTGTATAGCATGTACGCTTTTTCTATGATAGTCTGCTATCCTATAGCTTATTTAATTGGAAAGGTCTTCATGTACTTATTGCAAAATTTACTATTTTTTTCCCTTTTCCTGCTGTGTTTTTCCTCTCTGTAGTTGGTTTTCTTTTAGGTTTGCATTAAGTTCAACTGTTTTTGTGTTTTAGATTTTGGATTATGTGTTGGGATGAAAAATGTTTTCATGTTCACTAATGTGGGAAGTGTTGTGGTTGGTTTCTTGTGGGATGAATTGTTAGGTTTGCATTAAATTTAACTGTCATGGTGTTCTGTATTGAGGCATGAAGCCTTGGTATTTTCTCCGGTTGAAACTTCGGTAGCATGCCGGATTGATGGTTGTCGCTTGTCCGACAGTTTGTTTCTTTTATTTTTTAATATACACATTATGTTTCCACATATCTATACTTATCTATAATTTATTTATAGATGATTTTATGTTACGAATGGGGGCTAGGCAATATTTCTTAGACTTTATGTTTTTTTTTAAACATGAATTCTCAAACTGTATTTATTCAACAATTTATATTTTTCCACAAAAATGAAAAGGTTTTCTTGTCTGTCATATTTGATGTAGTTTGTTACGGACTATACTATATTTACAATCACTAATGAACAATATATATTCGGGAATATCATGATACTATCACTATGTAGCTACTAAACGCTCAAATTTAATGTGTAATATAGATTAAATTTGGTCTGGCTGCGTGTGCACAACCAAATGTTTCTGTTGGATATTTTATTGTGTTCTAGACTCCTACCTTTATGGTGGATTCATATTAAGTAATGTCATTCACTTTTAGAAATGTTGTCAGATGTATGTATTTGTAATTTTTGATTAAGGTAAATATATCGATGAGATCAAACTTATTTAAGATGCAATTTTTTGGGCCGATAAAAAAACAAAAAATGCACAATTATTGACTAAGAGCTTGTTTGGAAACACTTCTTAAATGGACTTTTAGATGTAAAAGTTTATTTGGGTAAATATTTATGTTTGGTGTTAAATAAAAAATGGACTTATTAATAAATTGTTTCTCCAGGAAGTCCATTCTATAGAAGTAATTAATGCGGACTTTTGGAGAATTCCATTTTGTATAACTCCATTACGAAATGGACTTTCCTAGAAGTGCTTCCAAACAAGCACTAAATTCGGCCGGCTGTGCGTGCACAGCCTATACCCTACTAGTATTCTTGATAGGAAAGTTATAAGCAGCAAACTCATATATAAAGTCCAAAGGCCAATTATTTATTTACACCAAAAACTTTGTAGCTTCATAAAATAAAATAAAAATAAAAAGTAAAATAAATGCAGATATTCGTGAAAACGTTAACAGGCAAAACAGTAACACTCAGAGGTTGAACCCAACGATTCCATTGACAATGTCAAGGCTAAAATTCAAAACAAGGAAGGTAATTAAGAAATTAATTATTCTGTCGTTTCTATCTTTTTTTTTTATTAAATTGCTTCTGATTTTGTGGTATTCCAATTTCTGCTTGCTCAGGAATTCCGTCGGATCAACGTTTGATTTTCGCCGGAAAACAGCTTGAAGATGGTCGGATTCTTTCCGATTACAACATTCAAAAAGGTTAATTTCGTCGTACCTTTTTTTTTATGGCAAAAATTTAATGTTGGTTCTGTATATTGACCATTGTCCAGTTTTGGTGCACCAACTTTCTTCTCATAAAAAATAGTCTATTATGTTTCGTCAATTTTAATACAGTAATTCCGAGGGGCATTGATGACGTGGACAAAGAGAGAAACGACGTGGATGAATAGGATTTTGACATGGAAGGATAACAATTTTCCACGTTGTCCCTCGAGATTACTGTACTAAATTGACGAAAATTGTAACATAGTGTACTATTTTTTTATGAGGAAAAAGTTGGTGTACCAAAACCGGTGGCCGACTTGGAGGATCAAAATTAAACTTCTGCCCTTTTTTTTATCTTGCTATTATTATTATTATTTTTTTTATTTTTTTTTTTATATTCTTGATTTTTGTATTTCATAAGGTAATTGATATTTACTTTAATATTTCTTGGTATTGAGAAATAATCCAAATTTTTCGAAATTTGCAGAGTCAACTTTGCATTTGGTTCTTAGGCTAAGGGGCAGCGGCAGGGTTTGCCGTGGGGGTTATATTACATATGGCCCATATCTTGCCGAATTGGCTCGTAAATACATTATCAACAAGCAAATTTGCCGCAAGTGAGAGAGTTTAAAATTAATTTCCATTATGAGATTTTTTTGAACTGATTTGTAGCTAGGGGTGAACAAAACCGAAACAGAACAAAAAATTTGCGGTTAATCAAAATTGAACCGAACAAAAAATTTCGGTGCGGGTTTGATTTGCACCGAATCGAGCTTCTGTTTTGTGTGTGTGTGTGTGTGTGTGTGTGTGTGTTTTAAATGTTTTCTGTAATGATAAATGCATATTTTTTGTCAACTTTTGAAACCATCAGATGCTACGCTCGGCTGCCCCCTCGGGCTACCAATTGTAGGAAGAAAAAATGTGGGCATAGCAATCAGGTAAGTTTTATTTTAATCTCCATATAATGTTTTTTTTTTTTACTAATATTATGCATCACACAAAATTGATATTTTGATATAAGGCTTATGATTTTTATTTTTTACTTACTTATTTATTTATTTATTTATTTATTTATTTATTTTTTTTT